TACAGCTACAATGGTGGAGTCTGCAGTCATTCACATAAAAGACCTGCAGGTACACTAACACGCTCTATTATCTTATGACTCATGTTGAATACTGTTTGTTGCTGCTGAATTTGAGTAACGTGTACGCGTGGTTGAGGTGCTTGAGGTATAGGAGCTGTTCTGTTTACCAGTGTTCGTGTGTTCATGTGTTCATGTGATCCTAGGATCATGCGATCGTGCAGGTTCGGATTGAAGCCATGGAGAAATCCATTCATGTTGCCATCGAGACACCAAGATCTGCAGTAGAGGCGATAGCTCATGGCCTGGCTGCAGATGTTCACAAGGTGACTTCTGGGTCGATCTAACCATCCCTGGAGACTCCAAGCCCTGCTTCTAAGAAAGCATTCAGGGCAACACTTGGGGTGATACGAAAGTAACGGGTGAAACCGAGATTTGCAGTGGAGGAGTCGGCGTGTTGACACGTCGCGAAAGTCACGTGTGGCTCAACTGCAGTCAATTTGACTGGCACTTGACTGCACTGTCCTTGCACTTCCCAAGACTGCACCAAGCCTGTCAGTGCCAAGTTTCTCCTCCAATTGCTGGTGCACACTTTTGAGAAGTTTCAAAAGTATCTCTACTGCTCTTCGGTGCGCACACAGCACCGAGAAGACTCCAGGCGCCTCAGAAGTATGTTGAAATCCTGTACACTGCATGGCAAAGCTTCGCCTGGTATCGTGCCATGCCATGGTATCCTGATGGGGTAGAAGTTTAATGTGTATGTAGTTTAGCCTCTAGTGCAGTTCAGCATGCGTACATGGTGTAGCCAGTCTGCTTTGGTTGTGCAGATATAGTTGTGCTGAAGATCGGCGGCATCACAATTCATACGAGATGAGCGGCGGCGACATCATCACGATTCACAAGTCTGTTTTGGATATCTGAAAATTCCCTGCCGATGGTTTCCCTCTCTGCTACTAGGAGCCCTGAGTGCCCAGGCCAATTTCTTGGGACATGGTGCAAACTGCCTCGTTTATGTCGATTGAGAACAGAAATCTGATTTCTTTCTACGGGTTAATCGTATGTAGGTACCATCGTTTATGGCGTTATGGTAATGAACAGATATATGATTTATTTCTAACTTTTGTTTTGTCTTACGTAGGCACTAAGAAGACCTTGGATGAAACAAGGGTTTGACCTTAAGATTTAGGCACTATGTTAAGAGCATTTCCAACAACATTGTTACCAGTATCTAATTGTCACGATGTCACGTACTCTTTATTGCAACTACAGTTCAGGAAGACCAGATCCCGATGAATTTCCCGTTCTCTCCATCAAACCAATCTGATCTACTACATTTTTTCGTTGCCCACTTTGCGAAGCATATCTGGTAGCAAAGACGGCCCGAACGTTTTCTATGAGTAGCGGGGTGGTGATTATTCTACAGTGAGGGGAGATAGCCAATACTGTATGGGCCTGAACAGGTAAATGGCAGGGCCCCGGGGGGGTATGTATGGCTCACCACAACACCAGTCCCTCAATTGTACGCACGGCGACAATCGAACAACAGCAGCGGTTACTTTCTGAAAGGATGCGACAAGCCCAGCAGGAGAGTGGTGTCGAGGTCATTGATTAGAACGCAGCGCGGACCTATCACCAACGAAACGAGCATGGCAGAGAACCACATGATTTCACTGCGCCGCCTCTTCTTACCCTGCTCTGGCATTCTTCCCCATAAATCTGCCAGCTCAGCACAGCACAGCGTGGTTCGGGGTGATGTCGGCGAGGGCAACAGGTTGTCTCTCCCCCCCTCTCTCGCAAGCGAAAGGCAATCCTTTACCCATCTAGGGTTTCGGGTTAGTCTGGCATTCTCGCCTATAGACATGCCGTGAATCCGCTGGCATGACGCAAGGATGACGCAACTAGAAGGGCAGTAGAACACAAGAAGCAGGAGGGAGCTAGAGCAGCACAGCAGGAACGGAAGTCATTGGGGTTTGCCCGACAAGAGTCGTCGTTTCGTCACCGGTCTCTAACGGGCTGCCTTCAAGGCGACGTGTTGGTCCTTAAATTTTCGTACCAACCACGTGACAGCCCACCATCACGTCTGCTTGCGGTTGCCAAACTTATCTTGCCGGGCACTCCCGGCGCGAAAAAGGACTTGCTTCCAGGTTGCGGGAAACTTGCAAAAGGGTTACTTTCAAGAAACCTGCCTCCCGCAACTTTCCAGTGATGGTCGAATGTTGCAGAAATCCGAGTCACTGGAAAGTTGCAAAAAAGTTGCATTTCTACAACCCAACCGCAACTTAGCGGACACTCGTTGGATACTTTGAGTATACATTTCAGTCAAATGTATGCAATCTCATGACCTGCCACGTGGCACGCGTACAGTTTCGACTTCGAAGTGTACGTACGCTGGTACGTTCGCGAAGATATTTTGCCACGTAAGCAAAGATATTTCTGCCAGGTGTCATTCTCGATATGTGAACGGCAGTTTGCCATGTGGGCCAATCAGACATGACCTTGACGTGTGCGAAAATTGATTTCTACAGGCTGCAGACTTGCCTGAACAGCATGCATTCGTTTCGTGGGCTCTGTTACTGGTTTAATGTGAGGTTTAGTCTGTACACAATGTATAATATTTTGATCATTTACATACACACTTTCAAGTATACACTACGTGCTACCACTACGAAAAAACGAACACAGCTAAAACCTACAACTTGTACGTAGCTTCACATCTTATATGAATGGCACACTGTGAGAGAAAATTCTTTGTTATAACGCTTGCAAAAAGTACAATGACATAATGTTAGCCATTGGTTAGTCATATGCTTGTTCCCCACCTCAGCGACTTACCACCCGCGGGGCTTCACCGCCACTTGTAATATTGCCTTGAATGTGCTTGACTTCCATTAACCATACACACGAAAATCCACCCTGAAACACGATGACTACCAGAACAACAGATATAAAACGTTAGGGTTAGAGGCTGGATTCCAGACAGCATGGGATAAGAACGCGCATGGTGAAAAGCTCAAGCAGAGGCAGAGAGAGACCTTCGTGCGACTACCACACCCTCCGCGTTTCTCGTGCTAAAGATCTGCACACGGTTAGGGAAAATGATAGCTTGGTCTCGAGCTACAGAAAGAATGTGTAGCACACCTTTCGGCAAAAGGAAAGGGGAGGATTCGCAGGGGCGGAAATAAAAACATGGATCTGAGTTACAAGCAGAGGTGATAAGAGGATAAGAGAATTGGCTGGGGCAGGATAACACAATACAAGAGTTACATGCGAATGCGATAGATCTGCACACATTGAGAAGAGAATAACCCTAACCGTGCGACTCGATTTAAGTGAGTTGTCTGGTGGCCAAGAAATGAAGCTGCCGAGTCCTCACAAACCGACTCGTCACCACCGCGCGACTCTGTACATGGGAGGGGTGGAAAATAAGAGGGGACGGATTTTCAAGTGAGAAGATAGAGGTGCAAAGAAATTTGCATTAAGTGGTATGAGCTATACTCGGTAGCTATACTGGGTGATAAGATACCTTGATAAATAGGTATGTTGTTCTCTGGGAGATGCTAGTTGACGCGTGAGAAGACAAACAGAGGCACGAGCTGTAGGCGAAAATGGAAGAAGCAAAGAAAGTTGTGAATGAATGAGGTAGGCGACGGGTGGTTGTACGGGAGAGAATCAGGCACATTGTGAGGTTACAAATTATAGATGCTTCTAGAGCTCGCAGATGTGCTGATCTGTCGTCTTGGAATGCCGTCGATTTCTAATGTATGCAAGAACAGAGCAGTAATTGGTTAGTAAAAAATCAGTAGGTCCGACTACGTCGGCTCCGTAAGCTAAGCCTTGGTCCGAAGAAGCCACGTTAGTTCACGAAATCTGAACACTTAGCACTGATTGGGCGCGACTGTGAACCCGTGTGCCAGTTGCCAGTTCCAATTCCTGTTTGCACCTTGGCGAGCCTCTTTCCGTTTTGTATCCACGTTACCACGCTCGCAACTTTCGAGAGTGCGAACCTAATTCGTGCGAAGTATTCATATTTTGGACACCAAAAGTTTCACAGCAAGGGAGACTCCCAAGGTTTGGTCGTGACCAGGTGTACTGTTCAGTGCCAAGGTTTCGAATTTCATGCTAGAAATGCGCGGCTCGGGTAACCCACGTATCCAAAATGTGTGCCTCGGGTAACCCACGAATCCAAAATGCGCGGCTAGGGAGGCGGGTACTTAGCATCAGACAGGCAGGTTGCAGAATTGACTTGTTTTTCAGATACTTTTCTGCAACTTTCCGCATACTTTCCTGCAAACTTCATACTTAAACTCGTTTTTCAGCCAAAACCTTTTCCGCGATGCCTCCGTGGGGGCGGCGAATGAAACGCGTCGGAGGCAGCACCCTTCGATTCCGAGCCGGCGAGCGCGTGTTAACAAGTTGGGGGAAACGACAAGAAAGAAAGGAGCTGGAAGCCTTTGTCAGATAGAAGATACTATCGTGCGATAGCCCACTTCAAAGGTAGCTAAAAGCACAGTGACACACTGTGGAGGTGTAGTGTATCAGCTTTGGTATCTCATATGGCAGCTCCACCGTCGCATTAAAACGAGGCTGCAAGTTGATCTGTCGAGCTGCATGACGGTTGTTTACCGGCCCTAGGGCATGATGGGTCTTTTTTTTGTCACGCGATAAGATTACCACCGGCAGCACCACCAGCTCCTCACTTATCTCCCTCTGTATCGTAGCGGCTGGCTACGGGCCGGGCCTGACGTTACCACCCACGTAGGATCATCCTACGTGGCCTCATCTGAAACTATGAGCGTAAAAAATACCTTTTCCTCGGAGGGAGGAGTGGAAAGCCACCCATTTCACCCTTTTTCTTCCAAATCTGTCTGACATTTCCCCCGTTGCACATTATCGCCTTCAACGGAGCAGATTCATTGATTTTGCCTTCGATCTACCTTCCAGTAACATTTCCACCTGAACCTCCTCAGCAGCAAACCAGGGAGAGAAAAGCTCGTCCCGGAGAGATGGAGCAACACGGTCGTGTTCTCCTGGATCAACCTGAAGCAACTGTCCCATCATTGGGGGGGTTATTCGGTCGCCATCGCGACGACCCCAAGCTCGGAGCTCCTTTTGAGGCGCAGAGTGACAGAAAAACAAGCGCCGGCAGCGGGTACTATTGACCTTCATATTCGAGCTGTAATGCATCAGGAGGAACCAATTTGCTGTCGGACACCACCCTCATTCTGCCACCCTTCATGCACAACCAGCTGTTGGGGAAAGGCCTCCTGGAGGGTGTTCTCAAGAGCGGCCATGGCAAGGCGGACCCCACCAGTGAAGCCTCTCAATTTGAGACGCCTAACCGAATCAAAGGTGGATGTGGCAGATCCTCACATTCGCCAAGGTCCAAGTCAGATGACGACGGCAGCTTGAATGATTTGCCGTTTGGGCGGCGTTACGGGCAGTCTGGGCGGCATGGGCAAGAACTTATCCTTGAAGCCAGCATGTACGATCCTCACCCCATTTTCGACACGCAGATATGGAATGAGGAGGAAAGTGGGCTTTTGGAGGAGCGTTTGAGGCGGCAAGGGCGACTAGAAGGCCACATCAGCCTAACATGCCCCATCCTCGCCCCGCCATTTATGCAAGACCAGCCGCGCCCATGTGCTGAGGACCCTCAAATATCGGCTCAGAGTCAGCAGGAGAGTGGTCTCTTGGAGGAGCTATTGAGGCGCCATGGGCGACTTGAGGACCCCTTCCGAATCCTGCCGCCCCTCATGCACGACCAGCCTTACTACAAGCCTCCCCCACATGCTGAGGACCTTCAAATTCTGACTCGGAGTCAGCAGGAGAGTGGTCTCTTGGAGGAACTATTGAGGCGCCATGGACGACTTGAGGACCCCATCCGCATCCCGCCTCTCTTCATGCATGACCAGCCTCGCTCACCTTTCGAGGAGCTGCCTCAAGTCTCGGATTCGGAAGCCGACCACCTGTTGAGGGGCCACAAGCAACTTGAGCGCCCCATCCGCATCCCGCCGCCCTTCATGTACAGCCGGCCTTGCCCACCTTTTGAGGAGCCGCTTCAAGTCTCGGATCCGAAAGCCGGCCATGGGCAGCTTGAAGATTCCACTGCTGTGGTGCCATTGGGGAATCCTCCTCCTCGCTTGCCGATGCAGCTCCAAGCACCTGAGATCTCACATCAGAAAGATGATGGGCTGTTGGGGCATCACGGGCAGCTTGAAGATTCCATTGCTAGGACGGGATCGGGGTCTCCTCCGTCTCGCGTGCCCTTGCTACCCCAAGAGCCCGTGGCACTGAAGTCCCGTTCGACTGATTCGTTGGAAAGAGCTGTGGCTGGGCTGCTTGAGGAGCAGCAGCGACAGCAGCAGCAGCAGCAGCAAGAGGCAGTGGAGAGCTGGATCGTGCATGCTTTACATGCCTCCGCACCAGAGAGTATGGTGGCAGTAGGCTATGGTGGCGTCAGCACCACCGTTGATGGAGATCCGATGATAAGAGTAGCGAATAACGTGGTATCAGGCTCTGGAGGCATCAAGAGCATTGACAGAGAGGTAGCAACCACAACAGAGAAAACCACAATGAGTATAGTGGCAGCAAGCTGTGGAGGCACCAATACCATTGACAGAGACGGAGCAGCATCGGCCCAGCAGCATCTGGTGCAGCAGCAGCAGCAGGTGGCGACAACCAGCTGGGTGGCACAGGCTGAGCTATCAGGGCTGGCTCTGCCGCCCGATCTGATCTGAAAATCTGCACTTGCCACCCGGTTTGCGCAAATGCAGATGCAAATTCAGGAGGAAGCTACCTGGGATTCTTCTGGTCCTGCTTCTGGGGCTTGTCACAAGCGGGGAAGTGGTCGTGGCTTGACAGTGCGAGAGCCTTTTGAGACGTCTCAAAGGCCTGTCTTCTCGCATACCACCACTCCTGGTGTTTGCTGCACATCCACTGCTCCTGGTGTTTGCTGCACATCCGCTGCTCCTGGTGTTTGCTGCACATCCGCTGCTCCTGGTGTTTGTTGCACATCCGCTGCTCCTGGTGTTTGCTGCACATCCGCTGCTCTTGGTGTTTGCTGCACATCCGCTGTTCATGGTGTTTGCTGCACATTCGCTGCTCCTGGTACTTCCTGCCCACCTGCTGCCACTCCTGGTGTTTGCTGCACACCCACTGCTCTTGGTGTTTGTCATGAGTTGGAAAGAGGAGACGCCTTGGCAATACAACAGCCTCCAGCCAAGAGCACGCACCTGGTTGGATTGGGAAATGCCCTGCATACTTTTGAAGCGAAGCAAAAGTCACCTCTTGAGGCGGCGCAAGTAACGACTACCAAGGCACCACATGTATCGCCTTTTGAGGCGTCGCACATGCCGCCTAAGGACTGGCGGCCGCGCATTCGAGCACGATCGGATGGGCAAGCGGTGGGGCCGTTTGAAATGACTCAACCATCCGTTCAGTTACCTCTGGAGGACTGGCGGCCTCGCATTCGAGCACGGTTGGATGGGCAAGCGGTGGGGCTGGGATGCATACAGCCGAGGAGCATGAAGGAGAGGCACCGGCGCAATCGTGTCAGGTAACTTGACCCTCTTCTTGCATCACCCCCTCCCCCTCACTTCCTTCCCTCCCTCTTTATCCCTCACTCCACTGTCTCTCCCCCTCTTCCTCTCTCTTTCCCCCCCACCCCCCATTTCCGTCCCCATGTCAATCCCCTCGTCCCTCCCCCTTTCCCCCTCCACCTCATCCCAACCCCCAACCCACCCCTCCCCCCGTATATATGTATTGGGGCCTGACTCTATTTTGGGGAGGAGGGTTGGGCATTTGGCTTTGTAAATTCTCGTTTGGCATTTGTCTTTGTGAGTGAGATGTGAATCAAATGGGAGACCTGGATGACATACGGTATGAAACTGAATATGTGACCTTATCCTAATCTTGTGCTTGTAACGAATGTGATTGTATCAGGAGAGGCCTGGAGCTGCTACATCGAGCACTACCCCCATTTCTCGCAAGAGCACAACTCGATACAGCCACAATGGTGAAGTCTGCAGTCACTTACATAAAAGACATACAGGTACACTCACACGCTCTAATATCTTATGTTTTATGTTGAGTACTGTTTCTTGTTGCTGAATCTGAGTAACGTGTACGCATGCTTGAGGTGCTTGAAGTATAGGAGCTGTTTTGTTTACCAGTGTTCATGCGTCCATGTGATCATGCATGAACTCATGTGTTCATGCACTCATGCAGGTGCGGATTGAAGCTATGGAGAAATCCATTAATGCTGCCATAGAGACACCAAGATCTGCAGTGGAGGCGACAGCACGTGGCTCAGCTGCAAATGTATACAGGGTGACTTCTGGGTCGATGTAACTGTCCCTGGAGACTCTAAGCCCTGCTTCTAAGGAAGCATTCAGGGCAACGCTTGGGGTGATATGAAAGTCATGGGAGAAACCGAGATCTGCGGTGGAGGAGACGGTGTGTTGACACGTCACGAAAGTCACGTATGGCTCAGCTGCAGTCAATTTGACCGCCACTTGACTGCACTGTCCTTGCACTTCCCCAGACTGCACCAAGTTTGTCAGTGCCAAGTTTCTCCTCCGGTTGCTGGTGCACACTTTTGAGAAGTTTCAAAGGTATCTTTACTGGTTGTTGGTGCGCACACAACACCAAGAAGACTCAGGGCTCCTCAGAAGTATATTCATATCCTTTCCACCGCAGGGCAAAGCTTCTCCAGGTATCGTGCCATGATATCCTGATGGGTAGAAGTTTTATGTATATGCAGTATAGCCTAGTGTAGTTCAGCATACATACATAGTGTAGCCGGTCTGCTTTGCTTGTGCATATAATTAATGCTAATTCTCGGTGGCATTACGATTCACAAGTGATGCATCATCTGATTGAAGCTTGCCACAATGGACATCCTTTGCCAGCACACGTCTGCGTTGTTGATATGCAAATTCCCTGCCAATGGTTTCCCTTCCCAGCCTGCTACTAGGAGCCCCTGAGTGCCTAGGCCAATTTCTTGGGACATGGTGCAGTCTGCCTCGTTTATTTAAATTTTGAACAGAAATATGATAAAATTCTATGGTTTTAATAGTACGTAGGAAGCCCTTGGATAAAACAAGCACATGGCCCTAATTTTTAGGCATATGTAATAGCAATTCCAGCAACCTTGTTAATAGTATCTAACCGTCCGGGCTGTCTTTTACCGAACACTTCTTGTACGTACTCTTTATTGCAACTACAGTACAAGAAGACCAGATCTCGATGGATTTCCCGTTCTCTTGCTTGATACTTATCTGATTTACTATTATTCTCGTAGCCCACTTTGCGAAGCATATCTGGTAGGGAAGACGGCGTTTTCTACGAGTAGCGGGCCGGGAGTTGTTCGTCAGTGGAGACTGCCAGCGTGGGCCTGACCTGAACGGGTAAACGAGGGGGGGAATATGGCTCACGCGAGTCATCAAGTCACGCGCAGCGAAATTTCGGCAACCCTTACTTTTGTTGATATCTATACTTTGTCGGACAAATAGGCGACAAGCCCAGGAGGAGAGTGGTGTTCAGGTCATTAAATACGGTGACCAGCTCTACCCAACCAGCTGCCTCCTCAACCACTCGTTTATAGAGCGCAGCGCGGACCTATCACTGCCGAAATGAGCGTGGCGGAAAACCACGTGATTTCACGGCGCCGCCCTCTTCTTTCCCGCTCAGGTACTGTACTCTCGCCTGAATCATGAATCCGCCAGCTCAGCGCAGCAGCATTGCTCGGGGTGACGTCGGTGAGGGCAACAGGTTCTCTCGCCCCCCTGCTCTCGCGAGCGAGAGGGAATCCTAAAAAACCGTCTACTGTAGTCTGGCATTCTCGCCTAGATCACCGTGAATTCGCCCGAGCTGGCAGCTCAGGCTTCGGTTTCGGGGTGACGTCGGCGAGGGCAACAGGTTCTCTCGCCCCCCTGCTCTCGCGAGCGAGAGGCGATCCATGACCCGTCCAGTCTGGCATTCTCGCCTAGATCATACCGTGAATCCGCCAGCTCACAAGCCAGCGCAGCATGACGCGGTGGGAAGCGCGGGGACTAGACGGGGATGACGCGGGGATGACGCAACCAGAAGGGGCACTAGAAGCAAGCGAAGCAGGAGCGAGCAAGGGCAGCACAGCTGGGACGGTAGTCTCGAGGGTTGTCAGTCTGACGTGTCGATCTCTGACAGGCTGCCTTCAAGTTGGTCCTAATTTGTTCAAACCAACCACGTGACAGCCCATCACGTCTGTTTGCCAGACGTTATCTTGCTGAGCACTCCTCCGTTCGAGCCGGCAAATGAAACGCGTCAGACGCAACCTTAAATTCTCCTCGTCCCCGTCGCCGCGCGTGCTGGAGACAGCACATCCCCTTCAATTCAAGTCAAGTTGGCATTCTTCGCTCGTTAGATAAGCATCGTGCGACAGCCTCGCCATGCCAACTACACTCACTCCAAATGTGCTCAAAAGCATGCGCCGAACCTGGTCGCGCGCGCGTCAACTCGCCGAGTCACACTGTGGAGTTGTGTATCAAAACTTCACTATAGTGTCGCATTAAATCGAGGCTACAACTTGGACTGTGGGGCTGCCTCGCGCTGACGGTTGTTCACCGGCCATATGGGCATGATGGGTTCCTATTTTCACGCGATGCGATTACCACCGGCAGCACCGCCAGCTCCTCACTTATCTGCCCTGGCGACTCGTTGGCCCTGGCCGTGCCACCCACGTAGGATATGCGCGAAAAGAAATATATTTTTTCTCCGAGGGAGGAGTGGAAGCCACCCATTCACCCCTTCCTTTCCAAATCTTTGACCTTTCCGTCAACAAACCAGAGGAGGAAGCAAGAGAAAACACGGAGGAAATTCGTCCCAGAGAGATGGACCTACAAGGTCGCGGCGTTCTGGATCAACCTGAGGCAACTGATTCTTTGGGAGAGTTGCTCGGGCGCCATGGCGAGCTCCCCAGGATTGAAGCCCCTTTGGAGGCTTGGAGAATCAGAAATACATGCGCCGGCGGATATGGACGGTCAGGATCGCGCTCTGCATCAGGGGAAGGCCTCCTGGGGGATTCGCTCAATCGCCATGGCGAGGCGAACCCTACCAGTGAAGCCTTACAAGTTGAGACGCCTAATCGAATGATCTGTGGATATGGCGGATTGTCACAATCGCCAAAGGCCAAGCCAGTTGAGAAAAGCATCACTGCTGCAAAAAGTCGGTGTCCCAAGACGGTCCTCCCATTTTTGAATGGCATTTACGAGCCCCTACCCATTTTTGACGCGCAGATATGGAACGAGGAGGAGACTGGTCTTTTGGAGGAGCTGTTGAGGCGCCATGGCCGACTTGATGACGCCATCATCGCCCCGCCCTTCATGCACGACCAGCCACACTACAAGACTCCCCCACGTGCAGAGGACCCTCAGATATCGGCTCAAAGTGAGCAGGGGAGTGGTCGCTTGGAGAAGCTGTTGCCATGCCATGGGCAACTTGATGACCCCATTACTGCCCCGCCCTTCATGCACGACGACCAACCGCGCTCACATGTAGTGAGTCGACTCAAAACACGCCATGGGAGACTTGATGACCCCATCACTGCCCCGCCCTTCATGCACCACGAGTCGGACTACCAACCGCGCGCACATGCTGAGGACCCTCAAATCTCGACTCGGAGTCCGCAGGAGAGTGGTCTCTTGGAGGAGCGGTTGAGCTGCTATGGGCGACTGCAAGCTCCTCTTCCAATGCAACCCCAAGAGCCCGAAACCTCACATCACAGAGATGGTCGGCTGTTGGGGCGTCACGGGCGGCTTGAAGATTCCACTACTGTGGCGGCATTGGGAAATCCTCCGTCTCGCTTGCCCTTGCTTCCCCAAGAGCCCATGGCGCTTAAGTCCCATTCGAGGGATTTTTTGGAAAGAGCTGTGGCTGAGCTGTTTGAGGAGCAGCAGCGACAGCAGCAGGAGCAGCAGCAAGTGGCACAGGAGAGCTGGATCGCACGGGCTTTAAGCACCCCCGCAGCACAGAATAAGGTGGCAGCAGGCTTTGGAGGTATGACTACCATCAACAGAGATGCAGTAGCATCGGCCTCTCTAATGCAGCAGCAGGAGCAGAAGCAACAGATGCAGCAGCAGCAAGTGGCAGAGGAGAGCTGGATCGTACGGAGAGCAAGTGGCTCCAGAGGCATCACTACTACCATCAACCGGGATGCGGCAGCATCGGCCTCTCTGGTGCAGCAGCAGCAGCAAGTGGCGACAACCAGCTGGGTGGCACAGGCTGAGCTGGCAGGGCTGGCTCTGCCGCCCGATCTTATCCGAGAATCTGCACGTGCCGCCCGGTTTGCGCAGAGGCAGTTGCAGATGCAGGAGCAAGCTGAGGCAGAGAGACGGACTTTTCAAGAAAGTACTGAGATATTTCTAGTGCAAGACGAAGTGGGAAAACGGAATATACGTTTCCCAGAGCGGCAGGAGGGGGCCTGCTTGGGTGTAATGCAGACGAAACGGAGGTTGCTGAGGGGGTTGCAGGGAATGGAGCTGGAGGAGAATGTGATTCTGGACGAACGAATGTTGCGGGAAGGAGGGTTGGTGCAGGAGAGGATGATGCAGAAGGGAGGGATGCAGGAGCCTTCTTTTGAGGTGCCTCGAGAGTGCACATGGCAGGAGAAGGCATGGCAGGAGGGGCAAGGCAGTGCCAGCATGCCGCAGCATGCATCTGCGGGCGAGCTTACTGGCCCAGGCAGCCTCAACTCACCTGAGAATGCTTCACTTTCAGCCTCCCCAACAACCCCTCCTGCTGCTGCCGGCACTGTTGTTGCTGCTGACGGTGCTGCTGCTGTTTCTGCTGCGTCTGATGCTGCTGTTTCTGCGGCTGCTGCTGCTGCTGCTGCCTACCCGCCCACTTCTTTCTTCACGCCCAGATCTTGTGCTGTTCGCTTCCTGCGGCTGCTTCCTGTTCGCCCGCTGTTGCTGCCGCTTCCTGTTCGCCCGCTTCTGCTTGTGCTTGTTCAGAAGGGAAATTAGAGCATGCCTTGACAGGCAGCATGAGACAGGCAAAGCCGGAGGACAGGAGGTTGAGAGAGGAGGACTGGGGGCATCTCGTACTTGACCTGAAGCAAAAATCCCTTTTTGAGGCACCACAACGATCGCCTTTCACGTCATCGCAAGTATCGCCCTTCAAGGCACCAAGAATATCGCCTTCTCAGGCACGGCAAATACCGCTTGAGGACTGGCGGCCGCGCATTCGAGCACGGTTGGATGGGCAAGCGGTGGGGCTGGGATGCATACAGGCGAGGAGCATGAAGGAGAGGTGCCGGCGCGATCGCATCAGGTGACTTGGCCCTCTTCTTGTAACATCCGCTCCCCCTCTCTCCTCTCCTTCCCTCCCTCCCTCTCGAATCATCCCCCTTCAGTCCCTCCCCCTCCTCCTGTCTCTCCCCCTGTCCCTCCCCTCCTCTTCTACCCACCCACCCCTCCTCCATTCCCTTCCCTCTCTTCTCGTTCAATACTGTACCTTTGGCCTTATCGGAATCCGGTGCTTGTATCAAATGTGATTGTAACAGGAAAGGCCTGGAGCAGCTACATTGAGCGCTGCCCCAATCTCTCGCAAGAGCACAACTCGATACAGCCACAATGGTGGAGTCTTCACTCACTCACATAAAAGACCTACAGGTACACTCACTATTTCTCATGTTTATAGTGGTCTTATACTTTGTGTGTGATTGTTTGTCCTGTTAATAGATGTGACTGTTGCTTATGTTGTTTCCACAATCTGTGTACCATGCACGTGCCACTACTTCTTAAAGCCAGGATCTCAAGTAAGAGAATTGGCCTTCAATTGCAAAACACTTGCAGCGCTTGTTACCCTATTTTTGTAGGCGAATTGACTGGCTGGTTAGGAAAGTGAGCGTGCGGCACACCCACGATTTTGCCCCTAGAGCAAATGCAAAACATTTTGCTGGTACATGAGATTGTTGTGTGTGACGAGAAATTGCAGGCATTGGAGCTTCGTCACCGAACCAGTTTCCGAGCCTTGCTTGGTTCGGACTGAATTTGCGATTTGTCTTTACTTCGCACCCCTCGCTTCACACCTCGTCAGATTGTTCACCTCGCTAACCAATCGCAGCCCAGCTCCCCTCACCAACTGCAAAACAATTGAACTACTTGAGATCCTGGCTTTAAGGCTCAAATGGTCTCTGAGGGGCTTCCAGAATAGTCTCTGATGACTTATAGAGGCCTTTTGAGATATAGTTTCTGTCTTTCGGTGTTCTTTTAATGTTTGCAGGGCCGAATTGAAGCCCTGGAGAACCAAGGAAATGCAGCCGTCAAGACATCGAGATTTGCAGTGGAGGTGACAGCATGTGGGTCAGCAGTAGGAGCATCCAGGGTAACTTCTGAGTCGATTTGATCATCACTTTTTGAGCCGCCTCAAAACACGCCCCGGCTGCAGGCGCAGGCGCATCCCAGGTGACTTCTGCGGCAATATAACTGTCACTGGATACACCAAGCCCTGCTCCAAAGGGAGCATTCAGGGCGACTCTTGTGTTGACTGTAAAGTCAACTGGAGAAGCCGAAATTTGCAGTGGAGGAGACAGCATGTGGCTCAGCAGCAGCCGATTTGACAGCCTCTTTACTGCAGTTACCATGCACTTACCCCAGAGCGCACTACCCGTAAAATTCTCGGTGCCAAGTTTCTCATCTCCTCGCTGGTGCACCAAAACATTTTCAGGCGCTACAAAAGCCGGCTGATGTCTTTTACCTTGCACAGCAAGTTGCGTCTGGTATCGTGTCGACATTATGGCGGAATAATACCATGTTGTGTAGTCTAGCCTTTAGGGTAGTTCAGCACATGTACTGTAGTCTGGTCTGCTTTGTTGTGCATATAGTGTTGTGATAAAGAGCGGTGCATGTTGTTACAAGTGATGTGTCACCTGATACGGCCAGCAATTCCTCACAGGACACCCTTCACCAACACATGGGCTTTGTCTATGCGCCAGTTCCCCTGTGCCCCCAACCTTATGAAGCGGTGCTGAAACGACAAGTTATGCGCCATGTTTCACTGTGCCAGCCTATACTAACCAACCCAAGCTGCATGGCTACAGCCCTGTCATGTTTTTTTTAGCGTAAAATGCTTTGATTAATTTTACCAGCAGCCATTTAGAGAGTTTACCCATGCTAGAAAGGCATAGTGCCGGCGTAGCGGAAGCCTTTATGTATGATAGAATAGCAAGAGAAACTTGCAACTGAAAGGATTTAGAACAATGGGTTGAATTATGGCCTCATACCCTAGGGAGAATTTTTTTTTTTGTCTGATCGTGACTGGACGATCAGATGAAGCAAAAAAAAAACTGTATGAAATCTCAGACAAACAGACAAAAATGTCTGATAGCGAGGACCCTGCCCTCAGTCCACCCATCCACACCAATAATGGTACCTCCAATAAAGGAGTACCAATAATTCTACCCCCAGACCTTTAGACTCCAATAATGCAGCTCCTACAATAATTGTACAATTATTGTAGAGCCTAAAACCTTATAAAGAAGACTACAGTGAAGTCTAACAGCATATATATTTCCTTATGTTTCTATTTCCAACAACCCAGACTGTACAAGCATGTTCTGCTTGGATGAAACAGGGGCAATTTTTTTTTTTTTTTTTTTTTTTTTTGGTGGATATAAGTACACTACCAGCATACATACATGATGCTAGGAGGGCATGAGGAGGTTACTGAGAAAAGTAGAACGAGAATGAATGAACTATGAATGAAGTGAGTACATATGGGAAACCCTAATTGGGTTGTACCCCCTATGGGATACCCCACTATAGCCTACACAACAGCATAAGCTATATATATATGTTCTGACACACCCCCATAGGCAAAGTGGGGGAGAACAAGGGGTCACAAGACCAGTCAAGCAAAGCAGAGCAAGCTCAGGGTGGATCACAAAGTCACCACACAGTCCGAGCACAACGACAGGGCAACAGGGCCAGTTCACATGCAGGAGTACACATATATATATAGAGCTAGACAAGCAAGAGCAGGAATATATATGTGACAGTACAAGCAAGGTCAAGAAGAGAGCAAGTGAGGCAAGACAGGTACAAGACCCAGCTGGGTGCAGAAGCGCTGATGGTCACAAGGCGCAAGTGCCTTGGTGAACACATCAGCAGTGTTGGCCTCAGAGGCCACGTACGCAAGTCGCAACTGACCACGCTGCTGCAGCTCACGAGCAAGAAAGTAACGGAGAGCAATGTGCTTCGTTCTGTGCTCCAAGCGCTGCTCTCGACACAAGGCCAGCATGGCCTTGTTGTCTACGTACAACACTGGAGGAGAACGAGGCGGCTCTCCAAGGTCAGTCAGCAGGTAGGTGAGCCAACGAAGCTCCTGTGCAGCCATGGCCCCGGCGTAGATCTCAGCCTCACAACTGGAGCTGAGAACAGAGGACGAGCGAGTAGCCCGCCACGAGACAGAGCCGGAACCAAGACTGAAGGTGTAACCCTGCGACGACCGCTGTGTAGCCTGGTCGTCTGCCCAAGAAGCGTCCGCGTGCCCAGTGAGGACCACTGGACTCCGCCCTCCAAGCACTAGCCCCATGCCCGACGTACTGCACAAGTAGCGCAACACCCTCTTCGCTGCAGCCATGTGCTCTGGTCGGTGTCTCCCAGGAGCAACATAGCGTGAAAGAATGCTAAGAGGGTATGCAAGGTCAGGTCGTGTGCAGGTCATCAGGTACATGAGGCAGCCAACAAGCTCTGGGTACGGGCCACTCGACTCTACGGACTCATCCGAAGGCAGAGCTGAGAGCGAGTGGCGAGTAGACAGAGGAGTGGCCTGAGGCGAGGAGTACGTGAAGCCGAAGCGTTGAAGGACCTGCTGCACCATGTGTGACTGAGTCAAGGTAATGGTGCGGCGTGCTCTGTCCCGAGTGATCTGCAAGCCAAGGTAGCTGCGCAGTTCACCGAGGTCTGTGCACGTGTGTCTCTTCTGCAGCTCGGACTTCACGTAGGCTAGTCCAGCAGTGTCAGCTGTGGCAAAGACCAAGTCGTCGACGTACACGAGGACGTAGAACGGCGGCAAAGAAGTGTCGGTGCGCAGAAACAACGACGGGTCAGCAGTAGAGGGAGCAAACCCAAGAGCCGCAAGCGTAGTCCTCAGTGTGTCGTGCCACTCACGCGGTGCCTGGCGGAGACCGTAGACTGGCCGTCGGAGGCTCCACTGGGTGCCAGGAGGAAAAGTCCCAGTGAAGCCAGGTGGACGGCGCAGCCAGATCTCCTCGTGCAGGCTACCCTGCAAGAAAGCAGTACTGAAGTCAAGAGAGTGGAGCTCGTAGTCGCGCTGAGCGGCTATGTGCAGCAGCACCCGAAGAGTGGTCATCTTCGGGGTGGGAGAGAAGGTCTGAAAGTAGTCAACTCCCTGCCGCTGACTGAAGCCACGAGCGACGTACCGCGCCTTGAAGACAGGTGGAGAGCCCGGCGGCCGCTTCACCCTGAAGATCCACATGCCACTGACGATGTTCGCCCCAGGAGGGGGAACCGCGTCAACGTAGGTGCCTGTGGACTTCCAGGACGCCATCTCTGCATCCATAGCTGCCTGCCACTGAGAGGAGTAGGGACCCTCTACGGCCTCCGCGTAAGAGCGCGGAGTCGGGATGTCTAGTGCATCCGGGTCTCCCTCAGGGGCAAGTAGTACGGACGCGAGATGAGGTGAAGCAGCAGCCAGACACCTGAACTCCTCCTGCCTGTCCTCAAGGACGTCCGTGCCAAGAGCACACTCACCCCCGACGGACGGAGGACAGACAGACGCAGACTCAGCAACAAGACCGGCAGCGTAGTCTAGACGACAGCGAGCAGCAAAGTCGACGAGCTCAGCAACAAGCGCAGACGCAGCAGTGGACTCAAAAGAGGGGTCAGTGACGACAGTAGCAAGGAGACGTGTGACAGCAGGACTGGCAGCACGAAGAGAGTCCGACTCCGGGTCAGGAAGAGCAGGAAGAGAGGACTCAGGAGGAGAAGGCAAAGGGGCACGCAGAGGAGCAGTGGACGGACGCAGAGACATCCGGTGCGTGCCAGGGACAGGAGGAGGACGCTGACGCGAACCACGACCACTAGTGCGAGCAGCACGGACAGGCGACGCAGGGCGAGACGCAGGCTCACGACGCTCAGCAAGACCTCCAGTAGGACCAGTGTAGGGAGAAGGAGCGGGCAGTGGGGAGGCCGGCTGTAACTGTAACTGTGACAGAACAGGCTGTGGACACTCTAAGGGAGGAGGAGGACCAGTAGAAGGCGGGAGACCAAGAACCTGCTGAAGGAGCGGAACGAAGTACGGTCTAGGCCGCGCGACGACTCCAGACACAGCAGGGACAGCACCAGTACCCCCAGCGGCAGCACCAGCGCCAGTAGCACCTCCAGCTCCAGGACCTCCAGCAGCACCAGTAGCACCCCCAGCAGGACCGCCTCCAGGACCGACAGCAGTAGCCTCAGCACCAACGCCCTCAGCAGCTCCAGCTCCAGCACCTCCGGGACCCGCGGCACCAGCACCCTCAGTAGCCGAAGA